GTATGTCACTGAGGTCATTTGAAAGTACATCAAAGATTAGAAGAGAAATAAAGGAAAAATGATGACCTACTATTAGTCTATTACAAGCAAAATCATATGACATTTATTAGTGCCTAACAAGTTACTCTTTTTATGATTGGTTTACGAATATGAAATTTTCGAGAAATCCTTTGATCAAACCTTGAACTTGAAAACAGTAAGCGTTTCCCCATCTGAGAGGGATGAACTTAACAATAGCTCACAGCTCACTTCAGATAATTATAAGATATTTTTAAATACCTCTGCATCATTTGTTTCACAAATTAAACCCAAAAAAGAAACGGGTGTTGGATAAATACAACCCTTAACTTGAAGGGTCTGAGATCTTGAAACATAGTAGCGCGTTTTATGATTAGGCTAAACGTCAATGGTCGTAGTTTCACAATTGTCCAAGGACATAGACTCTTAAACTATCATTTTTGCCCGACCGAAATAGAATCCCAAATACTATTTCCAAGGAAGGCCACGAAAATCATATGAGCGGGACTTGTACTTTATTCTCTTTGTGAAACTCAACATATAATATTATTTGGAAGCTAGTAGTCTGAAGTAAACCAGAAATCCCACCAAATAATATTCAGAACCCTGTAACACCAAAGTTTTGGTCTTACACTTACCTCCGCAAGTCAAAGTTACGGTTCATGAGACTTGCAAATTTTGTATAATCCTTTTCGAGCAATGCTGCTCTTCCTTCCAATGCAATGCTCGCGACTTCCTCCATTGATGATATAATGAATTTGTCACCATTTAACCATCGTTGTCTAACCGTACTATGGACCTACAAATACAACCATTCATCAAACACATGCTTTGGGAGCCTGGTCATGAGATGGTCACTTCTTGAGAAAAAAAAAGAAAAAACAATGTCCAACAATGGTTTTTATAAATATAGCAAAGATTCTCTCCAAAGGTGCAATTTGTAAATTATAAAAAACATTCTAAACCTTAGAGGGGTTTGTATAAACCAAATTGTCACAGTAGAGGAGAAAACAAGTGAAAACTCATAAGTACTCTAATTCTCAACATGGGCTAGAGTCATTGTGCATTAAACACAAGCAATTTCCTTTTAGGGGGAGAAATTGGAAAAGAAATGATGTTATCGGTGTTGAGTATTACCTTGCCAGAATCACTTGGGTTTTCAGCATAGATAAGGTAGAGTGGTGGCAGAAGATCCACGTCCATAGGTATATATTCACCATGCCCAAATTCTTCCATGTGTTTTTTGTTAAAATCCTAACACAACAAATTAAATAAATAAATAAAAACAAAATATTGGAAAGATATTGAGGATAGTTTTGGCTATAGAATAAAGATACCAGAGTTTAGCCACAAACCATATAGACAAGGCCTCCATAAACTTGAGCTACTCTATCTTGAAGACCAGCAACAATTCCTAGTTCCTTCTCTGCATTGAGTATAAGGTTTGGACGAACTTCGACTTTTATCAGGTGCCTGACATGGTAGAAATCAAGAAGGCAGCTAAGAGCAGCACAGACAATGGCACTTGAACCAGAAAGCCCTGTCTGAAATAATTGAGCCCAAGAAAGAAGAGATTAGAAAGTCAATTGAACATAAAAGATAAAAATGAGTGGTATGACCAAATGTAATGATAGACTTCACCAACAAAATGAACGCATTATTAGGTAGGGACATCAATAAGTTTACCAATATACGAGATGAAGTGCTTGACAATTTACAAAATAGGTTGATTCATCATTTAAATTACATAATCCAGTAATTTATATGTAGCGAACTCATTCAATGGGAATATAATCACCAAAAGTATAACAACTACCTGGCGGGGAATGTTAGTATCGTAAGACAGTGTAAAGTTCCCCTCATGTAAACCGATGCCATTTTCTTTGCAATAATTGTGGAAAATTTTGCAAATAGCCATGAGCAGACGTACCCCTCCATAGTAACCATCAGTTTGCAACCGATCAACCTATACAACAAAACATAGGAGCCAAGTCAACAAAAACCCTCTCATAAAAATTCTACATTAAACCAAACTTCAGCACACTATCGTTCAAAAGATTCAAAAGGAGCATTGCAGTTCTGGAATTCAAAGGAAAAATCAGAAACCCCATCCTTCACAACAGCAAGCATGCACATTCAACTTTTGCTTAAGAAATCAATAGCATTCCTCTAATATCAGTCTTCTCAGCTGAAGTTCGATCACCACTATCCATGGAACAGATTTACAGCATACATAACAGAACCCGACAAAAAGGAGTTCAAGAATCCATTATCCGAAAGCACAACCCCAAAAAAAGAAGGATGATTTCAGTATTTGTTAGCTCCCAGTGTCATTCATTTTTCGGCAAAAATCGATTATCCTCATCAAGAAAGTTAGATTCGACACAACCGAAACATGACAGCTTTGAATACATGCACCATATTAAAAAGTTCTATTACTCAAATTCAAGCATAATCCAAGTTAAAAGCTTAGAGAAATGCATACAAATACATCAATACAACAAAATGCGCTTATGAAACAGAAACTTAAATAATAGAGAGAGAAGAGAGGAACATACTAAATGAGGAAGAGAACTGAATTGGACTAGATCGTGAGCAGGGTGAGGAAGGATCGAGAGATTTTCAGAAGGCTCTAATCTAACATAAGCCCAGAAATTGCCCAGGCTGAATGATATCGTGCGCCCATTGTACACATCGCTAGGGTTGCCCAGTAGCCCGACCCTGGCGTAGGATCTGTGCTCGATCACGGCACCTTTATCAGTCGCCATTTTCTTGCCCACCTGATTCTCGCTCTGCCAATCGTAAATGCAATTATCTTTTTTCAGATAAGATGATTTTTAAATTTTGCGGAATTTGGAGGGGATGAAACCTAATAGGTATAACTGATGTAGAGATCTGTGAAAGTTTGCATTTTGAGGATTTCTTATACTACTGCGGTTCGTTTTAAAAAGTTGCACAGTTATTACGAATATTTTTTTGTTCAATAATCCTCTCTATATATCATTTCCGAATGCGCTCTGCTTTTGGTGATTCGAAATCCTATTTGGTGAAGAATCATGATTCGTAATTAGGTTTGGACAAATAATATTAATATATTAATAATTAATAATCTAGGTTCGGGTATTTCATAAATATTATTTAGCTAACTTAGGTATTTTAATATCACTTTTACTAATATAACCCTTTAATTCTTTGTAATTTTACAAAATGAGGCACTAAGTGACTAATATATCCCTAAATTTTGATTTGTTTCCTTCAATAAGCTATTGAATTATAAATGTATTTTAAAAGTAGATAATTTTTGTATTTCTTATCGGTTTTACATATATAATATATCAAATTAATCATCTTTTGATGATCTTCGATTTGATATCCATATTGTATATATAACGTAAATAAATTATATTTATCTTTATAATAACAAAAAATAATAATATTTATTAAAATTCATTACAAAAATAAAATTATTTCTCAATTGATATATTTATATTTAATGTAGTTATATATTGTAAGTTAAAAAATTAGTATAAAAGGTATTTAAATTTTCAAACTACTTTTTCTCATTAATTTTAAATTTTAAGAAAAAATTAGCAAGCACCCGTGTAATACACGGGTGTTGTACTAGTAACCTCATTAATGAGAATAGAAATGAATGTTTTGAGAAAAAATAAAGAGTGAATATGAAAAAAACGTAGTGTATTTATTAGCTAGGTAAGGGTAATAATGGAAAAATATATACAAAATATACAAAACGACATTTATATTGTTCATAGTTGTTAATGCAAAAATCTCCTCTTTTTCAGCTTGATTTCTTCATATGTTGCTGCAACGTGAAGTTCTCAACAGTGTAGGATGTTGGTTTCTTATATCTATTACGTATTAATCACTGCTTACTCACCCCCATTAATCACATTGCCTAATAAGTAATAATCTTTTGTATCTCAAATTTATCCACTTCTGTACCTCCTTTCATCAATTATTTACCACTATATTATGTTGTACCAACCATGGAATTTGTATAATAGATGTGTATGATCTTCTTAGAATAAATAAATAGGTTATTTGAGTTTTGGTTACACATGTTGTAATATAGATTAACAATATGTAAAATCTATGTGTAAAATAGACAAAGATAG